TACCGTAACGTAGCTTCTCTATGCCTTTTCTATATATATTTTCATGGCATATTTTCTGATATGCTTTCCTACTTCACAAATTTAGGCGCAGTACTAGATTGGTAGTAAGTCTCCTAATTTCACTGTTGAAATTGATAGATGTAACCATAAGCCCCATGCTAACAGCTACTTCTCTTGCACTTCTCGCTTGTGGAACTCTTTTCTGTCTTTTGGCTTTCTTGTCAAGTACAATCTTCAAAAATATAAATGTAACGTCAATCGTCATCTTCTGTCTCCTCGTATCATATTCTTTTATTGTTCTCGTTCTCCTCAACGTTTTCTCAGTTTTTTTTCTTTTAACCTCTTGCATCTTAATGTCATGCTTGGGGTGAAATGATTAAAACATCTTTAATGGAGTTCTTAAAATGTAAATTTCTTTGTGTTTTTTTTCAGTAGATATATTTGTAATTTAAGAAGTCATTATTTAAAACAATAATAAATATAATTTTTTTCTCGGAGTTTTTAAAAATTTACTTTGTATATTCGCTGTTGTTAGCGCATAGTTTCAGTCGATTTTTATTCAGGTAATAAAATTATTTCATCACAGTATGATTAAGTGTATTTCGTGATGAAACCGGAAGCATCTTTATCAAATAATTTTGAGTTGGGAAGTAAAACGCCAAGTTCACCTAAAAATAATGTTCATGTCAATGAATCTTCTCAAATTTATAGATAATATGAATTTTTACTTTTTAATTTTTTTTAAAGCTTTTCAATCCAAGCAAGGCAGGAGTGTCACTAGCACGCAAGGGGTTAAAGACAGTGGGAGCAAGAGTAAAGAAGCGTAATAGAGGAAGAGAAGGGCGGGGAATAGATCAAGGCGCCTGCATTGAATAGTTGTAGATTATATCTATCAGGGAAGCATGTAAGAGGAATGGAGTTCCACAGACGGTAAGTGCGAGACATGAAGCTATTGGAGTAGAAGAGACGGGTACATTTAAACGTTTCGACAGTGAAAGGGTGGGAATGAGATGCCAACCTAATAGCACGTTTAAATTAATGCAGTTTGGGAACTAGCGAAAGTAGCTCGTTGGAGCAGTTACCGTGAAAGTATTTGTAGAAAAGACAGAAGGAGGCGACGGCACGTCTGTGAGAGTTCAGACTCTGAATAACAACTAGGACTTGATTTGATAAAACGTTTAAAACTTCCCGGATTTTTAACTTCAACTTTATTGTTTTTGAATATTATATATATTTTCTATATAATCACAAACTTTCATAGACTGATGAGTAGTAAACTTGTGACATTAGCACTAATGATTCGATACAAAAGAACTAATGTTTGATGTCCAAATCCTTTTGAGATTGTTGCCAAGTTAGACATTGTTACGATACTTTTATCTTTAATTTTCTTTAATTTCTCAGTATCTACTCTAAAGATGGCAGCAAAACATTCTTTAGACTAATTATGTATATACAAGTTGACACAAAAAGGCATGAAACAGACATTATTATAAATATGTGTAAGTGACTGCTGCGTTGAAAATATATCTTTTCTTGAAAGTTTTCGATCGGCATTGGTGAGGGGTAGGTATGAAGTAATTTCAGATTCGTAGGTCAATGGCCACAACCATATTTTATTTTTTAGGAAGTGTTATTCATGTATATCAATAACTAGGGAAAATGTTTTAATATATAGCACGAAAATCTAAAGATAGTCTACGACAAAAAAATAATTTCGATGATTGATCGTTCGTTAGAGGCGTGCTTGGAAAGAACAATTCTGCATTTAATTAAAAACCTAGAAATGTATACACGTCTTTGTTGTTGAATATTATTCAGAAATTTAGTCCTGGGTATTGGAAAACTCTTAATTTTATTTATTTCTTCTTGAATATGCATTCAGAATATTAAGAGATAAAGAAACGGGAAAAAGTGAATTCTGTAGAAATTGTTTGGAAGTAAAAAAAAAAAAAAAAATACTTAAAAAAGAATAATTAAATATATTTTTTATTTTCATTCATGACTATTTCGCAAGAGGAATTCGTGATGTTTTACACATTAAGCAAACTTGGTTTAATTTCAGAAATGCATTTTGTTTTCGTATTAATATGAAATATAAATAAGTCAAAATTTACAAAATAAAATATATTTAAATAACTGAATAGAATTAAAAGAAAAGTCTCCGGAAAGAATTTAACCGTTTGAATTCTCTATTGATATTTTGTTCTTTACAATACATCGACGATTAAAGAATTAATTGCAAGAACAAACACTAAGAAGAATTATTTTGATAATTTTCTTTTATTTATACATTAGTTTTAAATACTATTTTTATTTAAAAGAAAATCTATGAATACTGAGACAATGACACATGACATCAGTGTATAAAAGCGTTGCTTGTATCCAGTGATATGATCCAAAGAGTTGTGAGTACTGCAGTGGGGAATAAAAACTTGGAGTTTTGTATTAAACATACGGAAGAGGCGTGGCACATAGAATTAGAACAATTTATCCCATTTCAGTTCGGAATTACAATCACCTGACGAAGGGTGGAGCATACAATGGCCGAAACGTCGTGAATATGACAATAAAGATGAGGACAACAATCCAAAAAATAAAAATAACTAGCAGTATATCCTGTCTTCGACCTGGTGTTTCATTACTGGCAATTTTTCCCGTTCAATTGGAGCAGTTTAAGTCAGCCCACCCGAAAATCAATATTAGTAACAACAATTGGGTGCAACTGAGACACATCCCCAAATGGGGGGGGGGGCTTAAGAATTTGAAGCGGGGGTCCTGAAAAGGTCTGTTTTTGCGCTCTCAATTTTGCAAAGGATTAACCTCTTCCATGGACCGTCATAATAATAATATGCGATAATTTTTATTTGTGATAATATTGTTTATAATTCTAATAATCTTTTACGTTAGATTTTAACACTCTAAATTGATTGTACGCTGTTTTTTATAGATATTAAATTTTGCCTTTGATTTTTGCGCAAATTGTAAAAAATATCAGTTTTTTCGATTTTTTACTTTCAAGTTGGTAATTTTTTCCAGCCATTTTGGACTCAAAACCGGCACTCTAGCAAACAAAAAAAATTTCATCGAAATCGGATGAAAACTGTGAAACGTATAAACACCCGATCACACACACACACACACACACACACACACACACACACTTTGAGAATTATAGATATATAGAATACATTTTCAGGTTCTTTTCATAGATATATTAATTAATTATAATTTGTTACAATTATAATTAATTTTTATTCATAATTATATTAATTATAGTATTAATAATCATTATTTATAATTTATATAATTAATATAATTAATTATATACATTTAACGGTATAATAATAAAAATATTATTGTAATAATTTAAACTATTTATTTTTATTAAACTTTTTATGAAATATATATATCGAGGACTAGATAGTAAATAGTAAAACGTTGCTAGGAGTTATAATGGATAGGAAGTAGAGGAGAGCCAATGTTGCCAACAGTTTGGACTCAAAACCAGCACTGAAGAAAAAAAATGAAAACTATGGAAACGCATAAATAACATCCGATCACACACACGCACACACATACATACACATTTTGAGAATTATAGATATAGATTACAATACCTTATCTCAGAAATATATACAGGTATATTATATTTCTTTTTACTTTGCGTGATATTTTGCAAGCCTCATTGTATAAAATCCAAACTTAGGTTCCTACTGAATCAAGAGACTTGATTAAACTTTATGACAAATCAAGAACAATTATAATGATTTGAATTCTGTCAGAAGTATCAGAAGATGAGCACTAATTAAATTTACTGGCCCACGCATCTAAAATAGGAAAACATTTAAGAGACAATGATATTTATAGATAAACATTTATTTATTTTTTGACATTCTTGACACTGCTACAGTATCAAATCGATCCCTGACTTCATAAAGAGTTATTGTGGGGTTCAGCGTACCCGGATTAAAGGAGAATTTAATACGGGATACCCTGCCCACAAAATACAACGCAAATTTCAAGAAGAAACAACGCGATAAGGAACGTTGATAAAAAATAGAACATTGTATATTTATTATCTTGTGAATAGGGTAAAAAAGATTACTGTTTTAGTTCGTTTAAGCAAAAATGTGATTTTGATAAAAATGTCTGTGTTCGCTGTCTTTTAACAGAGTAGCAGAATAATGTCTGTTTCTTTTGTTTTTGTATAGTTGTAAAATGAAAAAGGGGCGAGCAATTTGAGTTGAAAAAGAGAGTGCGAATGTGGAATAAAGATAAAAGGAAAATGTACTTATGAATTGTTTTGAAGTCAGTTGTAAATTTGTTGTTGTTGTTGTTCCTTCCTACTCCACTTTTCGGCTCTTTGTGTCGGTCTGAGTCAGTGATGAAATTTTCTGTCAATCTTCTGTGATCTTTTGCGCCCTTCTCTGACTGACTGACTGGCGACTGACTTGAAAACTCTGTATTTATTGTTGACTTTTTTTTCACACTGGCTCGTTATCTTTTTTTTGGTTTAGCAAATCGCCTCCTTTCATTGGTCAGAAATTAATTTCACACCTTATTGTGAAATCTGTTTTTGGTCGTTTTGATCCGATTTTACGGGTGTGCAAATCTACTTTGTGTTTTTTTAGTCATTTGCTGGAATATAGGATTTGTATCCTATATTATCTGCCTTTATTTTATTAAAACAGTCAAGTTTAAAACTTATTGATAACTGCTGAAGCTATTGGTTGTTTTGGCTGTTTGTATTTATCGGCATATCAACACCTCTATGGAATATTTAATACCGAAATCTAAATATTTTGTAGGCAATTTCATTTTATTTTTTGAGATAATAATGGTTCAGTGACTAATTAATCCATTACTTCGAGGAAAAGAGAAGGATTCATGCTTTTCCCAAGTGAGTAAGTGAATATAACGACTCCAGCTGGAATTAGAATTCGGCTCGCCGATTAAGCATTCCGAGCTATTATCAATTACATCACCCGCAAATCCAGGCTTACAGCACCTGGTATTCCCCAGCGGTCACTCACCTTGGTACTAACCAGATTCAACATTGCTTAACTTCGGTCATCGTACGGAAACCGGTGTTTCACTGTGATGTGGCCGTAAGCCTGCTGATGTGCTTTTCCTCAATTCGTAATAATACTAACATATGAATGATGTAAACAGTTTCAAACTTGATATTTGTAAAGGAAAACAAAGAACAGTTAACTCTTTAAGAAGTTATCGATCGATCTGAGACTGGATTTTTAACGTGAACAGTATCACCCCTTCTAAAATGATAAAAAAAATCAATATTTTTCCGATTTTGACAAATGTCGTGGCTTAAAAGTCTAATGTTGATTTGATGTGCGCAACTTATATGTGGCACAAGTTCTAAAAGAATGGGGGCACCCAGTGAAGATCCAACTTCCTACTCAGTCATAATTGATATAGAGGGACAAGCTTGCTAACCATTACATCACGTAGAGGTGATCTTAAGGAAAGTCTAACGAATGTTAAACTACAGTAATTATTGGCCCCTATTTTTACGAATAGATCAGTCCATTTAAATAATGTCAAGATATCTCTTATCAATCGTTTATAACTAATCGTTTTATTTGAATAAAAACAATTATTCATTACACATTGTAAACTATAGCTATATTATAATATCTTAATTTTGCATTCGTAGTAGATATATAGAAGTAGTAGACACAAGGTCTGTTTTGTAGAAAAGTATGATATTTAAATTGCTTTGAGACTTAGCAAGTTAACTATTTGAACGATCATTTTTGCCTATGTTGTTTGTATCTATACTCCTAAGATGGTGGACTTTAATTATTTATATAGATGGTGATACAAAAGGCATGAAACAATCGTTATTAAAAGCACGTATGTTACGCGTGTGTGTATGACTCTGCAAGCATTTATGTGTGTAAGTCTATAAGTACGCACTTCTCTGAATAGGGCGTATCAAATCTTTTTGTAAAATTTAAAATTTATTTGAATCCAACGCGTATAATCCCGCACGGATTGAGTATTATGAATAAATATCGTATACTGTAGAGTTCTAAATGCATCAATGACTAAATAGGCGATTAAAATCAAAATCTGCCGCAAGGTTAACAAATATGTTATAATTATAGCGAGATCAGCAGATTAATTAAAATGCACTTAATAGTAATTAGAATGCTTATCGTTCTAAATTTATGCGAAAGAAGTCAAATGCTGCATACGAGTCATCGACGGGATGAAGATGAAAAAAGCAGTAGACGATTATCATGTTTGTATCTTTCTGACGTTCAAATGCATCAATGCGAATTCAATATAAATAGTTCACTGGCTGATTGTATTGAGACCGAAAGGCTATGACTTTCGTTACTTATCTTGGCTTAGAAATTTCAAATAAATGAAGCAATTAGCAAAATGTGTATTTGGATATGTCTCTTCAATTATATTATTCTCTTAGTGTCTTCTTTGATTTGGACCAATTTGCAGCCAAGTGTTGTTAGTAATAAAGATATTAAAGATATTTCTTATAAATGACTAGGGCTGTTTGTGTAAATTCTTATATTTATCCAGTTTTCGAATAGGATTGTACATCCGAATCAATATCGGGATTATTCTTTCCAAAGTTCATGTTTTCCTTCTATTTGTATTCAAGTAGTTTCAATCATAATCAAAAGCTGAATGTTGTCTATATGCTCTTCAAGATTTGATTGGCTACATGCTAGCATAATTTGTTAAGCTAGAATTCAAACTTATTCAAATATGCGCGAATCGTATCAATGACGTCATGTGAAAAACGGTTCTATATATCTGTACTACAGCAGTGAAGAATGCATCAAATATTTATACGTATTATTATTATTAATGTCTACGCATATTAACTATTTTATACTTACTCTAAAAAAGAAGGTAAAATTGTTATAATATACACAAAGATATATATATAAAGCAAATTGAGACCATCAGCACGAATTAAAATGATGATCACACTCTAATCGAAGTATCTATGAAAATAACTATTCACTCAATATAATTAAGAGTTAAATATACTGAACATAAATAACGAGAAATTTAAGTTTATTGTATAAATATAATTATACCATATATATGCATGTGTGCGTGTATATATATATATATATATAATCGAATGTGAGAAAGAGATAAAAGGGAAAGAAACACATTAGTGCTAAACCACTCAATCCGTCTCGTGCAAGTGAGCCCATCAGCACGAATTAAAATGATGATCGAAGTATCTACGAAAATGATCATTCACTCAAGAGATCACAAATAATGAACATAAATATTAAGAAGTTTAAGTTTATTGTATAACATATTACAATTTCCACTTGTTTCGGGATTAAACCCTTTACATGTGACGAGAATTGAATTTACCGATTGCTATTGCTATGCTCATCTTCCTTGAATGTGGAAATGATGTAAAAGTAATAAAACAATAAACATTAGCTTCCATTGTTGACATGTTGACTGACCGATATTCTTATTACATTGATAGTATAAATGTAAGACAATCAATCAGAGGTAACCAAAAATAGTTCCGGTTATATCCATTTACTTATCGACGCCTTTGACAATTAAAACTTAAAATACTCACTCTAAAAAATTCTCTCTTAACTGAAAAGGTGGTCCTTCTGAAGTCATATTATAAGGCAAACTTTATTTTAGTGTAGTGTAAAGGCAATGTCTGTCCAAGCACCACTGCACACGTTGCAGTTGTTCCTACGCTGATATGAAATTATGGTATTAAACATATAAGCCTCCTACTGCATCTCCATAGAAACAGGAGTTTTTGGCACCTCACCTCTCCTCTTCTTAACTACAGATTCAAGCACAGCATTAGCAATCAATCTCTGTTCATCAGTAAGTGTTGCAATGTCTTGATGATCGAGGTCTTCATTGTAGTCAAGCTGCGGTACTCTAATAGGTCCGGGCAACCCAATTGCTAAACAATTAATGCCATTCTCTATCAGAATTGCATCAAGTGAGTGCAGTGCCATCTTTACTGCGTGGTCTGCATTAAAATCTTGGTGCAAGTAATTTTCAATCATGCATTCCTTGTGAGTGGTCTACAAGTGAAGAGCATTTGCAGGATTCATATATGTGCACAGGGCAGCAAGCCTAACACGCAACTGTAAGGGCATCCGACAGGCAGCAGCTTCTAGCAATGCATATTCTAGTGTATCATCGTTTGAGAGAAGACCATATCTCAGGCATAGTGCCTTAAATGTTGGCAAGATCTCTCCTACAGTACGCAAATCCTGGAAGGTCACGGCGCTTAAATATGCAGCAGCAACATTCGTAAATGAAATTTTTCTTTGTATCTAAACCTCACTGTATAAATTCTACTGATGATATTAGTATTCCTTTGCCTTGGTGTCAATCTTCTAGAGCGCATAATGTAGCGGAATGTCAGGATACGAGTGGTTCGTTGTATCCTCATCATGCTCATTCAGTTTAAATCATACTGTGTGGGTAGTGTCACTGTTCCTCTGTTCCTGGGTAGCTTGCTGAGCGTTGCCTCTGTGAAAGTAAAATCATTGCTGGTCTTCAAGATGTACTTTAAAATTTTGAAAGGATGATTTTCAAAGTTGTTGAGACACAATGAAACACAGAAATAAAATGAACGAATTCCAGTCCCAAAAAGTCAAGTTGGTTTTCCCAGTAAAGAAATTCAAGGTTTCAAAACAACTCTAAAAAATTAATAAAGAAGAAAGTAAATTAAGAACTAAAAAATCTTTATGAAATAGGAGTTAAGTATAAAATTAATTTGAAAGGAAATGGCAAAATGACATGCAAATTAAAAAATAAGAATTTCAACTAGAAATTTAATAAGATAAGTTAAAGGAAAAATTATTTTTAATAGAATTAGGTTCTAATTAGTTAAGTGAAACTAAAAATAAAATTAATTAATTGACGTAGGACACGCACACTGAAATAAAATAAATACATAAAATAAATAGATAAAATAAAAATACTTTGTGAAACAGGAATTCAAAAAAGTAAAACTTGCTTTAAAATTTTGGAGGGATGATTTTCAAAGTGGTTGAGACACAAGGAAACAGAAATAAAATGAACGAATTTCACCCTTAAATCACGTGACCTCTTAACGATTCTGTTATTTAGAGGCCACCTAAATATTTTCTGGGTCAATTTAATTTTTCGAAATTTCATGGACTCATGTTTCTTTGAAAATCGCCGGCATTTGTTGACGGCAAGTTTGAGATGGAGTGGGTGAGGGTGTTTCTTTGAAAATCACCGCCATTGAGAAGCCGAATACAGATCAGTACTGAAGAGTGTAACGGACGGACGGACGGACTAAGTAACTAAGGAAGGAACAAGCAGAATTATAATATATATATATATATATATATATATATATATATATATATATATATATATATATATATAATGGACTCTCCCATGTCGGTTTCGACGTATGAAGATCTGACAGCTTATTGATTCAGTTATGAAATTTTGTGCGATAATCTTAAGTGGCATTTAAAACCCGCTAGTGATTTACAAAGGAGGCCACATATGGAGCAAGAGTGAGGATTGTGAGATGAGATCACTGTTAGATTGGCTGACCTTTTAGTTCTTCCTCTCGTTTCTTGAAGATGATTCAGACAAGCAGATTGAAAACTGCTGAGTCCACTAAAACATGTTGATCTCCATTCTACCCGCTCCAAGGCTAAGCGCTCAAGGGTGTTAAGTGGTATATTGACAGCTGACAAGTTGCTTTTCAGCTTCTCTTTGAATCTTAGCCATGGGCGCCCTACATTCATGTAGCCCTGATCTAACTGGCTGTACATTAGGATCTTGGGTATCCTGTCATCAGACATTCTCAAGACATGATCAGTCTACCGTAACTGAGACTGTATGAGAAAAGTCTCTATTCCTCCAATATTACACTTGTTAAACAGGTCTACATTAGATGTCCTATCTTGAAGGTTAACTTCACAGATTGCACGCAGACAGCTTTTATGGAAAACATCTAGCTGGCGTATATGATACCTGTATGGAATCCACGACTCTGAGCCGTACAAAAGGATGGCAAGGACAACAGCACTGTAAACACGAATTTTCGTATCCAGTCGAATACC